TCCTCCCGCCTTGGCCTCCCAAAGTGCTGGGATTGCAGGCATGAGCTACCATACCTGGCAGATGTTCATCCATGTGGTAGCACATATTAGTACAGTTGGCCCTCCGTATCTATGAGTTCCTAATCCATGGATTCAACCAATATGGATTGAAAACATTTTTTAAAAAAAATTATAACTGTATTGAACATGTACAGACTTTTGTCATTATTCCCTAAACAATACAGTATAACAACTATTTACAAGCATTTACATTGTATTAGATATTAAAAGTAATCTAGGGATATTTTAAAGTATATGGGAGGATGAGTGCAGGTTATATTGAAATACTACACCATTTTATATAAGGGACTTTAGCATCCATGGATTTTGGTATCCAAGGGAGGTCCCGGAATCAATCCCTCACAGATACTGAGGGACAGTTATGTTTTTTTACTTTGTCTTCTCCTCTCCTCTCCTCCCCTCCCCTCCCCTCCCCTCTTCTTTCTTTCTTTCTGCTGGTCAAGTGAAGCAGTCGGAGTGGAGAAGGAACAAAGGAATCTGTAACTGGTTGTGATCAATTAGCTGTAAACACCACTGCACTCAGACCAACCCATTTTATTTGTTTTTATTACCAAATAACATTCCAGTGTATGTATATACCACAGTTGATTTATCCATTTATCAGTTGATGGACATCTAGATTGTTTCCACCTTTTGGCTCTTATGAATAATGCTGCTATGAACATTTGTTTATACATTTTTGCCTAGACATATATTTTCATTTATTCTGGGTATATACCTAGGAGGGAATTGCTGGTCATATAGAAACTATGTTTAGCCTTTTCAGAAACTTGCAAACTGGCTGTTTCCAAAGAGGCGGCACCATTTTCCTTTCCCATCAGCAGTGTGTGCCATCTCACTTTTTATACAGCTCATATTCATAGATATTTTATTCAAAGTCCTACTCAGAAGTAGAGAGAAGTTTACTTGTTTCCAGTGTTCTGGTTCTGTGGAATGAATTTTTTTGTTAGAGTATCTGCTGTTTTTGTCTTGCTTTATTTGCTACTTTAGCTCCTGAAAAAGTACTTGGTACAGAGTAGGTACTTGATAAATACTTGTTGAAAGTGTGAATCTTCTCTGCCGTGACTACACATCAGTCAACTCAGGAAGTTACTCCTTCAAGATCTGCTGATAAAGAACTCATTTCCCCCACAACCCATTGATCAAGAAAATCTGGGAGCGGTTGCTTTGAGTGTAACCATGGTAATAGGAGGCCATGGTTTGGGGCTGGGAGGTCTGACTAATCTCACTAATCTTCTTCCTTCTGCCTGAGGGCTGTAGCAGCATATGGAAGTATGAAACAGAAGGGATAAAAATTTATATTTAAGAATAAACAGTAGCAAGGCTAATACACTGCAGTTAAACATTCTGAGTCAAACATCACTAAGTTAATCATTCGTTTTGAGAAGAACTATATAAGTGATAATACTTATGAGCTTAAAATAAGAATCCTGTTGTTTAAAATAATAACCCTTTGGTGTGAATAGCCTACAGTTTGCTAGCATTTTAGCACAAATTGCGTATTCCAGTCATGACTGGATTATTTTGGCAAATCCTGAACTTGCAATATCTTAATATTATTTAATGAAGCATTGAACCATTATCCTTGAGAGAACTAAAGTGACTCCTTATGTTTATTCTGCAAGTTACCACAAAGCAATCAACAAAAGACAACACCAAAATTGAGTGTGTTACGTTTAAATGTTCACTTGGACTTGCCCAGCTTTAAAACTGTTTGTGTGGAGGGAAAGTAAATAGTGAATGGAAACACAATACTTGAGTGAGTTGTCCTCTTTGCTTGGCATGGTCATGTGGCTTTAGATAAATGCGTGTCTGTCGACACGTGTTTTTAAGCTTTATAGTATGCTAACTTTGTTTGTGAATTTATTCTTCCACTTATCATCTCTCCACCCACCCATTCATTCACCAAGCACGGGTTGAGTGCCTGGTGTGAGGAGAGGGCCATTCTAGACCCCAGGGATGGGAGGGAAAGGCGCAGCCCACGTGCCTGCAGCACTTGTGGGACAGACACATAAGAAGGAATGGGCTCACTGGGGGGAATTTAAGGCAGTCTTCGTAGGGGTCATCTGAAAACTGGTCTTTGGAAAGATGCAGAGCTGAGCACTCAGAACAGAGTGGGAAGGATGGCACTCTTGGCAGAGGTGCGGTGTGA